AGAGTTCATCAAGCTGCAATGCAATCTTTTCAAGAGAAAAATATGTGTACATACTGTGAAATGTCATTGCCGTTAATTTTATCTCCCCTTCACACGCATGATATATCCGGCTTCCCCTGCCACCAGTATCCGGCTTGCCTAGCCAATAATTTAACATTGATCTGAAGCTGTGCGGCTGTAGGCGGCAGGTTTTATTTTTCAGATTTGGTTTCTCTTGTTCAATTTTGGTCACAATTTTGTTGGTCTGCAAGGTTGTGCTGTGAATGCAAAATCTACGACAGAATCGTAGTCTATTTTCTCCAAGATCAATTGAACTGTAGCATCACTATATATTTTCTGTTCTTTTCGTAAGATCGTAGACTTCTCCTTTCTGTAGCTGAACTGGGTTATAGTTGTGGTGTGGTGTGGTGGTTGCAGTGGTGGAGGGGCGGTGGAAGTGATGGTGGCGACGGTACCATGGAACTACGGTACCTCTTGCCCATCTCAAGGGGCAATCTAAATTACGGTCAATAACTATTGCTGCGTAAATACGGCATCTTATTGGACATTGCCAGTATGATGGGTTAGATATATAACTCAGTGGTGGAAAAAAATGACTAATGTCCAATCTTCCAGCAAAAATCATTTCAGCAAGAATATAACTTAGAACGTGGAATTTAATTCATATGAAAAATATAGATGCATGACATTTTAATTAATGGACCAAATTGTGGAGCAATTCGAATACAGTTTGAGACTTTAAGGTTGGGGTCCCCTGTGTCCAATTTGTACCCCTAATACAAGGGGAGATGAACAACAATTAATGCTTCTCTGGGACATATGAGCGTTTTAGCGATATAATGTCATTTTGCTAGGTCAAATACGCGCTTTAAATTTTGAGATAAAGACCACTTCTCTATTCTTAATTTAGAGCTAGACTTCGCAACACTAGGCATGTTTGACTGTGCTTTTAAAGTAACTAAAAGTGTTCAAGATCACCAAAAGAGCTTTTAACAATGTTGGCAAGAAATTCACAGTAATTTTGTGAATTTTTATAATAAAATAAGAGAAACTACTTGAAATACTTTTAGAAAGAAGCACTTGAAGTAGCTGAAGTGCTTTTTAGAAGAAAAAAAAAACACTTGCATTTTTTTTTTTAAAGTTTCCATGTACTTGGTGAAAGAGTTTAAACTAGGGTTTTGGAGACTGATTACATAAGCTCAACTCAGTTAATTATGAGTGAGGTTTCAACTTCATTATATAGAGATTACAAGATAAGTTGGTTATAGTGTAAACATATATCAGATTACAAGTAAATTCAAAATACAAACTAATAAAGTCTAAGAAGAGATAGGAGAGTCTATCTGATGAAGAGTCCTTGAGTTATCCTGATGAAGAGTCCTTGAGTTATCCACACTGTGAGGTTGACTTGATGAGAGTGTCTGAGATGATTCAAACTGCAGAGATGTGGATGGCTGACTTGGAGGTTTGCTGACCTGGAGTACATGTAGGGATAATAGGTTTATCACGCCCTCGTAAGCTAAATGGGTGGAGACGCACGGGAAACTTGGAAAGCAGATAATTGAAATGAGCAGTAGCCAAGCCTTTTGTGAGAAGGTCAACAATTTGATCAGCAGTGGTGACATAGCCAACCTGTATTTCTTTGCGCACTACCTTTTCGTGGACGTAGTGGTAGTCAACTTCAATGTATCTCATCCTTGCCTGATAAACAGGATTAGAAGCTACTACAAGTGCACTAATATTGTCGCACCATAACTTCGGTGGAGAAATAAAAAGGTGTAAGTCACGAAAGAGATGACGAAACCAAGATAAAGTGGCTGCCGTATAGGCGAGTTGTCTGTACTCGGCCTCAGTGCTTGAGCGAGACACCCCTCGTTGTTTCTTAGAGCTCCAAGAGATGAGATTATTTCCAAGGAAAATGCAATAGCCCCCAGTGGAGCGCTGATCATCTAGATCGCCAGCATAATCTAGATCGGCAAAGGCAGTGAGGGTGAGAGGACTAGGTGTATAAACAATGTCGTGAGCATGAGTGGCCTTCAAGTAGTGGAGGATGCGTTTAACAGCAGCCCAATGAGCAGTGGTGGGTGAATGCATATATTGACAAACCTAATTAACGGCAAAAGCAATATCAGGTCTCGTGAAAAGAAGGTATTGGAGAGCACCAACTATGCTTCGAAAATGAGTGCCATCTGACAAAAGTTCACCTTCATAGAGACTTAACTTGCGGCCAGTTGCAGCAGGAGTGGTGAGAGGCTTTGCATCAGTCATATTGGTCTTTTTGAGAAGGTCAAGGATGTACTTAGATTGGGAAAGATACATGGTAGTTGGTGTCCGTGTACTTTTTACTGTAGAAAGCCTAAACAGTATGTTATCCAAAGAAGAAACTGAGGGCATTTATGTCCTTTCACTGTTAATGAACAGTGCTAGAGAACTAAATTTTAGTATATATATAATATCATTTTGCTAGGTCAAATACGTGTTTTAAGTTTTGAGATACAGAAGAAAGAACACTCACTACTTCTCTATTCTTAATTTAGAGCTAGGCTTCGCAAAATTAGGCATGTTTAACTGCTTTTAAAGTAACTAAAAATGTTTTAAAATCGCCGAAAGAGTTTTTAAGGACGTTGGCAAAAAATTGACAGTAATTTTGTGAGTTTTATAATAAAATAATAAAAACTACTTGAAATGCTCATAGAATGAAGCACTTGAAGCAGCTGAAGTGCTTTTTATAAAAAAAAAAACTACTTGCATTTTTTTTTTTTAAATGTTTCCGTGTACTTGGGGCCTAATTAGGCTTCTTATCATAAAAAATTAGGCTTATTATCTTTTGTTGTTATCATCTGCCCCACCTTGAATTTTCTTTGGTAGATCCAACGAGCGAAGGTTGTCGTTTGTGGGTTCTTTAGTGGAAAATCTCCATTCGGCGTCTTCTAGGGGTTGGAAATATTGCATTGTGTGGTTACGCTTGTTTGCCAAATTCTCAGTCGGGATCTTGGAGGGCCCCTCGACTTCTAATGTGTGATTATGGTTGTTTTCTAATGTTGCAAAAGCTGCTTTTTCATCTAATCAAGCATCGTTTTTTAAATGCAGAGACTCAAGATCGTGCTATATATACGAAGACAAAAAGCATTGAACTGCAGCAAGCCTTCAAACAAAATGGCTCATGGCTTCCTTCTCATAATCCTCTTATTCACGTCCATTATATCTCCAAATATCCACGCATGCAACCAAAATGAACGTAGCGCTCTCTTGTCCTTCAACCTCACTCTATCCTCTCCTCCTTTAAATTGGACTTCCATTAACTGCTGTACTTGGGAAGGCATCACTTGTAATCCGAAAGGTCGGGTCACCCATTTGCTCTTACCCTCGAAGGGGCTACACGGAGTTATTTTTACGTCGTCATTCTCACTTGGAAACCTCACTCATCTCACCCACTTGAATCTCTCCCATAATTCACTTCACGGTTCACTTGAAAATAAACTCTTTGAGTCCTTGGATTCTCTTGAGATTCTTGATTTGAGCTATAACCTTCTTTTTGGAGTGCTACCTTTGTCTCTAACATCTGGAAATGTCACATCCCGACCTGGGCGGGACCACTTCCCGGGCCCCACTCCACCGTAGCACGATATTGTCTGCTTTGGGCCCCCAGCACACCCTCACGGTTTTTGTTTTTGGGAACTCACACGAGAACTTCCCGATGGGTCACCCATCCTAGGAGTGCTCTCGCGCGCTACTCTCTTGACTTCGGAGTTCCTACGGAACCCGAAGCCAGTGAGCTCCCAAAAGGCCTCGTGCTAGGTAGATATGGGAATATACATATAAGGATCACTCCCCTGGGTGATGTGGGATGTCACAATCCACCCCCCTTAGGGGCCCGACGTCCTCGTCGGCACACCACGGCCAGGGTTAGGCTCTGATACCAAATTGTCACATCCCGGCCCGGGCGAGACCACTTCCCGGGCCCCACTCTACTGTAGCACGATATTATCCGCTTTGGGCCCCCAACACACCCTCACGGTTTTTGTTTTTGGGAACTCACACGAGAACTTCCCGATGGGTCACCCATCCTGGGAGTGCTGTCGCGCGCTACTCGCTTAACTTCGGAGTTCCTACGGAACCCGAAGCCAGTGAGCTCCCAAAAGGCCTCGTGCTAGGTAGATATGGGAATATACATATAAGGATCACTCCCCTGGGTGATGTGGGATGTCACAGGAAACATCCGGACACTCGATTTGTCAAGCAATCGCTTCCATGGTCCAATTCCGTCTTCGTTCTTCATGCATGCTTGAAATTTGACAAGTTTCAACTTCAGCAACAATGCCTTCTCCAGCTACATCCCATCCTCTATATGTCTCCATTCTAACCCCTTGATTAGAGTGTTGGATTTTTCCTCAAACCAATTTAATGGCAACATTTTACGTGGTTTTGGGAGGTGTTCCGAGCTGCAGATCTTCCGTGCTGGTCACAATAATCTCTCAGGGCTACTTCCAGAAGATATCTATAATGCTACCAAACTCGAAGAAATTGCAGTACCTCTGAATTCACTATATGGAGGCATTAGTGAGAGAATTGTCAACCTCAACAACCTCGTAATCCTTGATCTCTCCTTCAATCAACTGAGTGGAGTACTCCCTCTCCGTTTGGGGAAGCTATCCAGGTTAAAAATCATAAAGCTCGATTTCAACGACCTACAAGGTTCGTTGCCCCAATCTTTGATGAATTGCAGCAGCCTTGTAGAACTACGTTTGGCAAAAAATAACTTGGAATGAGACATTACCAAGCTTAATTTCTCCAAACTTGTTCAACTTACTAAACTTGACCTGTATAGGAACAACTTCACTGGTAAGTGGCCAACAAGCCTTTACTCATGTAGATCCCTGAAAGCAATTCGATTAGCTTTGAACAATCTAGAGGGACAAATACAACCTGAGATTCTTTCGCTAAACTCTCTGTCCTTCCTCTCTCTTGGTAGCCTCCGATTGGAAAATGTCACAGGAGCAATGAAGATATTGATGCATTGCAAAAGCCTTCAAATACTCCTCCTTGCGCATTCCTTTAATGGTGAAGGAATGCCATCTGACGATGACATGGTTAGTTTTGATGGATTTCGAAATCTTCGATTTTTGAGCTTGGCGCATTGTGATCTCACAAGTCGAATACCTGTATGGTTAGCAAAGCTAAAGAGCCTAGAGATCTTGGCTCTGGATGGCAACAAAATCACAGGGACAATTCCTAGCTGGTTGGGGACTGATCTACCAAGACTTTTTAATATAGGCTTGTCAATGAACCTTATTTCAGGTGAATTTCCGAAAGAACTTTGTAGACTACCGGCGTTGGTACATGAACTTATTGCAGCTCAAGCAGACCAATATGAACTCGAATTGCCAATCTACATTACGAAGAATAGCGGGGTACTAGTTTCTCATGGATTACGCAGCATATTGTATGGCTTTCCTTCATGGATAGATCTTTCTTCCAACAACATTACCGGTAATATACCGTCTGAGATCGGCCAACTGCAGCTTCTCCAAGAGTTGTATCTATACGACAACAACTTCTCCGGCAACATTCCGGACCAAATGTCTAACCTTAAGATGTTAGAAGTTTTGGATCTCTCCGAGAATCACTTGTCCGGAAAAATCCCATCGTCTCTGGCGAGCCTTAATTTCTTGGCTATCTTTAATGTCTCATACAATAATCTCGAAGGACCAATCCCAACAAGCACTCAGCTCCAAAGCTTTGAAGCTTCTGCATTTGAGGGGAATCCAAAACTTTGCGGTGCACCGCTTCCAAACGAGTGTCGCATTGATGCGCATGATAAGAATAACCAAGATGATGAGGACGATGGGCATCAACTACCGTGGTTCTATATTTTCACTGTGTTCGGGTTTATTTTCGGATTCTGGGGAGTATGTGGTTCTTTGATTGTAAAGAAGACATGGAGATATGCATACTTTCGATTCACAGACAACGTAAAAGATAGTCTATGTCATGTTAGCAGTGCGCATGAATAGGATGAAACGATGGCTTAGCTAAATAGAGTCATTTGTCTTTTCTCGGTTACATTTGAGGGTTTCGAATATAAACCTCTGTTATGTATTTTATTTTATAATAAACGTCCCTATGTTATCGAAGTTATTGCTTTGTAAATGACTCGCAAATCGTAATTTGCAAATCCCTCTCATATCGTGAAAAAACAATCTACGAAAGAATAGCAATACATAATCTTCACAGAGGACTGCAAATTAACATGTTCCATTTAACAAGGATCCCCATGCAGTCTGCTTTCTGTCAATATAAAGAACACTCACTAGTTCTCTATTCTTAATTTGGAGTTGGGGCTTCGCAAGACTAGGCATGTTTGACAACTTTTTTAAAGTAACTAAAAGTGATTTAAGATAACCAAAAGAGCTTTTGACAATGTTTAACCAAAAAAGCTAACCGCAACTGTGAGTTTAAAAAAAAAAAAAAAAAAAAAAAAAGAGGCATTACGTGAAGTGCTTTTAGAAAGAAGCACATGAAGCAACTAAGGTGCTTTCCGGGACAAAGCACTTAGCTTTTTTTTTTTTTTTTTTCCTTTTTTTTTTGTTTAAGTTTCCGTGTGATTCGGGCCTAACTAAGCTTATTATCTTTGTTGCTATCATCTCATCTTGAATTCTCTTTAGTAAATCCAATGAGCGAAGGTCGTCGTTAGTGGTTTCTTTAGTGGAAAATCTCTATCCGAGGCCTTGAAGGGGTTGGAAAAAATTGCATTGTGTGATTATGCTTGTTTGCCAAATTCTCAGTTGGGTTATTGGAGTACCCCTCGACTTCTAATGTGTAATTATGGTTGTTTTCTAAAGTTGCCAAAGCTGCTTTTCCATCTAATGAAGCTTAATTTCTAAATGCAGACACTCGAGATCCTACTATATATACGAAGAGAGAAAAACATTGAGATGCAGCAAGCCTTCTAACACAATGGCTCATGGCTTCCTTCTCATAATCCTCTTTTTCACGTCCATTATATCTACAAATATCCATGCATGCAACCAAAATGAACGTAGCTCTCTCTTGTCCCTCAACCTCACTCTATCATCTCCTCATTTAAATTGGACTTCCCTTAACTGCTGTAGTTGGGAAGGAATCACTTGTAATTTGGAAAGTCGGGTCACCCATTTGCTCTTACCATCGAAAGGGCTCGACGGAGTTATTTTTACCTAGTCATCCTCACTTGGAAACCTCACGCATCTCACCCACTTGAATCTCTCCCGCAATTCACTTCACGGTTCACTCGAAAATAAACTCTTTGAGTCCTTGGATTCTGTTGAGATTCTTGATTTGAGTTATAACCTTCTTTCAGGAAAGCTACCTTTGTCTCTAACATCCGGAAACATCCAGACACCCGATTTGTCAAGCAATTACTTCCATGGTCCAATTCCATCTTCGTTCTTCATGCTTGCTTGGAATTTGACAAGTTTCAACGTCAGCAACAATGCCTTCTCCAGCTACATCCCGTCCTCTATATGTCTCCATTCTAACCACTTGATTAGAGTGTTGGATTTTTCCTCAAACCAATTCAGTGGCAACATTTTACCCAGTTTTGGGAGGTGTTCCGAGCTGCAGATTTTTCGTGCTGGTCACAATAATCTCTCAGGGCTACTTCCAGAAGATATCTATAATGCTACCAAACTCGAAGAAATTGCAGTACATATGAATTCACTGTATGGAGGCATTAGTGAGAGAATTGTCAACCTCAGCAGCCTCGCAATCCTTGATCTCTCCTTCAATCAACTGAGCGGAGTACTCCCTCTCTATTTGGGGAAGCTATCCAGGTTAAAAATCATAACCCTCGATTTCAACGACCTACAAGGTCTTTTGCCCCAGTCTTTGATGAATTGCACCAGCCTTGTAGAACTACGGTTGGGACGAAATAACTTGGAAGGAGACATTACCAAGCTTAATTTCTCCAAACTTGTTCAGCTTACTAAACTTGACCTGTATAGGAACAACTTCACTGGTAAGTTGCCAACAAGCTTGTACTCATGTAGATCCCTGAAAGCAGTTCGGTTAGCTTCGAACAATCTAGAGGGACAAATACAACCTGAGATTCTTTCACTAAACTCTTTGTCCTTCCTCTCTCTTACTGAGCTCCGATTGGAAAATGTCACGAGAGCAATGAAGATATTGATGCATTGCAAAAGTCTTCAAATACTCCTTATGGATACCTTTAACGGTGAAGGAATGCCATCTAACGACGACATGGTTGGTTTTGATGGATTTCGAAATCTTCGAATTTTGAGCTTGCCATTTTGTGATCTCACCGGTCGACTACCTGTATGGTTAGCAAAGCTAAAGAGTCTTGAGATCTTGGATCTAGCAGGTAACAAAATCACAGGGTCAATTCCTAGCTGGTTGGGGACTGATCTACCAAGGCTTTTTTCTATAAACTTGGCAATGAACCTTATTTCAGGTGAATTTCCGAAAGAACTTTGTAGAATACCGGTGTTGGTACATGAACCTATTGCAGCTCAAGCAGACCAATATGAACTCGAATTGCCAATGTACATTATGAACAATGGCCGGGTACTAATTTCCTATGGATTATGCCGCATATTGTATGGCGCTTTTTCATTGATAGATCTTTTTTCCAACAACATTACCGGTAACATTCCAACAGTTGTCTCTAGATAACAACAACTTCTCCGGCAACATTCCAAACCAAATGTCTAACCTTAAGAAGTTAGAAATTTTGAATCTCTCCAAGAATCACTTGTCCGGAAAAATCCCATCGTCTCTGGCAAGCCTCAATTTCTTGAATAGCTTTGTTGTCTCGTACAATAATCTTGAAGGTCCAATCCCAATAAGCACTCAGCTCCAAAGCTTTGAAGCTTTGGCATTTGAGGGGAATCCAAAACTTTGTGGTGCCCCACTTCCAAACGAGTGTCGCACTTATGCGCATGGTAAGAATAACCGCGATGATGAAGACGATGGGCATCAACTACCGTGGTTCTATATTTCGGCTGTGTTCGGTTTTATTTTTGGATTCTGGGGAGTATGTGGTTCTTTGATCGTAAAGAAGACATGGAGGTATGCATACTTTCAGTTCACAGACAATGTACAGGATAGGCTCTATGTCATGTTAGCAGTGCGCCTGAATAGGATGAAACGATGGCTTAGCTAAATAGAGTTCTTTGTTTTTTCTCGGTTACATTTGAGGGTTTCGAATACTCTGTTATGTATTTTATTTTATAATAAACGTCCCTACGCTATCGAAGTTACTGCTTTGTAAATGAATCATAAATCGTAATTTAAAAATCCCTCTCATATCCCTCCCACATTTCCAATCCCCTCTAACTTGGTCTCGATTCCTTGAGACTTGGAAATCCCTCACCGCAAAAGAAGTCAAAATTTTGATTCAGGGGCCAAACTGAGAATCGGGTTACCAAAATAACAATGTAACGTGTCATTTTTCTAGCAAAATAACATCACCACCAAAATATTCAAAAACAATCTACGAACGAATAGCAACACATAATCTTCAGAGAGGACTGCAAATTAACATGTTCCATTTAACAAGGATCCCCATGCAGTCTGCTTTCTGTCAATATGTGCACTACCTGAAAGAACTCATGTTGCGCACCAAAGTAAAGACACGACTAATCGAATAAGATATGACCTTGAAAGTTTAATCATATTTGGATGAAAGGCAACCAGGTTCCAACCACAGCAATATGCCAAACAAAATATCATTCAAGACGAGAAACATTGAAACCGACAGCCCATCTCGAGCAACCTCCTCGTTTATCTACAACATGCCTACAAGACTCATCATACCGCAACTAGCCTCAAGCTTAGTAACGGTTTGGACCAGGATTGACGCCAGCATCCATGTCTGGCGTGTAGTTATTCTAGTATTGTCCAGGGTCCTTCCATCCTGCATTAGAAGGCGGAGCCATGTTTGGTGGCACGAGAAGCCCAAGTAGCTACATATGTTCCGGTCGAGTGAATACTACGAAAAGCCCATACTCTCGACAAAGCCCATTTAACTCGAATATTTACTCATATGAAGAGGCCCAAGGTATCCATCATGAAACATAATTTTGTTTTTTTTTTTTTTTTTTTTTTAACAAACGATTTTATCTATGCTAAAGAAGAGGAGTCGGGCTTAGTCTCACAATGGGCTAACAGTAATGTGGTTCAAATTCGGCTTTGGCAAGAACCGAACTTAAGATCTCTCACTTATAAGTGAAGATAAATACAATTAGACCGTAGTACTAAGTGGCATGAACCATACTTTATTGCTAGTTGGGATTTATATAAATGTGATTAATGTACAAGAAAAATGAGGCTGTATGGTGATTTTAGTGGTGGCATTGCATATCTGATACTGATTGAATAATAAGGGTTATGTAGCTCGGTTGATTAAGAGCATTCACTCCCAAACCCGAGCTTCCGAGTCTGATCACCTCGTCTCGTCTCCTGCCTGTATGGAATAATCTTGACAGGTGATTTACACACAGTTATGGATGTTTGCATTATTTTTTGGTTCATAATTTGTATGAATGAAATCAGCGTCTGATCGATGTTCGGGTTTCCGTCAGGAGATTGGTTGCTCCATACTCAACTCTCAATCATGTTCCACTGGTTGGTTATGTGGGGGAAGCCACTCACATTCGACAGAACACAGAGATCTGTAGCTATTATTTACGTATTTTGTCTCCCTTGGTTGCCCTTGTATCCTTCCCTAGACTTCACTGTTTGGGAGCCGCACGCATCAGTGCTGTCATGGGTGAAAATTGTGATATTATCGACATCCATCATTCTTTCCTCGACATAAATGCATACGAGGAGCAAAGTTTAAGCAAAGAGGTTCCATCAGTTAATGACAGCGAGTCTCTGATGAGTATTAGGAAGGAAGAAAAGGAGAGACACAGACGGAAAATAATAGGACAAGCCAACAAAAAGAGGATACCATGGAACAAAGGCAGGAAA